TATATCTAAAACTACATATAACATTAATTTGTTCAATGAAAGTAACTGCCAACCCTTACTAATTCAGAGAGATTGGAAGTGAGATGTTTGGAAAGGCAGAAGGTAAAAACAAATGAAAGGTATACCAACTCAAGCATTTCCAAACTGTTCCCTGAGTTCAGTGCAAACCCACTTGCTTTCACTATATATTTATTCCGTTTGTATTTTACTCAAAGTACCTCGAGACTTCTATGGCTAATTTCTTCTTGCATAACAAGGAAGTTATTTACTTTAGTGTAATTCACTTTAGACTTGAATAAACATGTGTAACAATGTTTACTTGAATAAACACATGTAACAAAGATGTTACTTTTTAACACAGATCCTTTAACACAAGGTGGTCTTGTCTTTTAGGTTTTTTACTATAATTAACAGAATAATATAGTTACACAAAATACTCATGTTAGCTTTCAGGCCCAAAATATTTGCTGTATCTCTAAAAACAGGTATCTACAGCACATTCAGAACCTCACATTCTCTTTACAGCCAAAACAGCAGCATCATTTAATAAAAGAAACTGAGAAAAGTGCAAAATGCCTCAGAACTTTTCTTGAAGTGGACTATTCACCAAGACCATGAAATACTGTTTTTGGAAGGCAGATATATTCATTGGTCAGGAAAAACATTCTCTGTTTTCTAGGGCAAACAGCCAGTCTCACGCAGGTCTTCACACCTGAGTGACCAGCTTTCCCAAGAGCTTTGAGCCCAAAGCTCTCAAAGCGTTATCCTTTGGTCCTATGCTTTCTCTACGGTTCCTGAAAATTACTGAAAAAAAGTTCTTTTTCTGTTTCTGCATGCAAGAAAACAGGACCTTTAACAAAACACACTGACATACGACATACCTCTTCTTAACTAAGCAAATTTTTATAAGATGTGTTGCACAAGTGTAGCAACTGGACAAAGATTATTCTGTATTCAAGTTTTATTTCTTTTTATTATGTACTACTCTGAGTTTTCTGAAGAAGCATATATTTGTACAGATGTATTTTAACTGCATATAAACATACAAGGCAGCTGGTATAATGCACACAAAAAATTAATTCTAAAGAATAACCTATCAGCATCATAACTGCATTGGTTCATCAGGCTAGGAAATGAGTTAATGTTTCTCTGTGTTCAGTGAAATGTAAATTATGTTTTCCTGCTCAAGATAGACTTCAGTATCTTTTCTCTTCCTCAACCGTTACTGAATTTTTCCACCTGCAATACATACAGCCTGAAGAATGATAGGTTCCATTTTTTTTTTTTTTTCCTTAGGCAAATACATAAAATACAGCCTTCCCAGGGGAAAACGGAGAAGCTATTTAAGGAAACAGAACAAAATTTTCTAGTTCAATTTATACAAGAAATGCCATTCTAGTTCATTATTTCATTGAGAGGATCAGAATAGGATAAATCAAAACCAAATGCTTTAACACACAGCTCTGAACCAGGCATCCAAAAAATCCAAAAACACTTCACAGTTGAAAATATTCAGTTACCAGCACTTATCTCAATGTTTGGAAAAGGAAATTATTGGTCATGAAAAAAGTGATATGTTGAAATAACGGTAATTTCGCAAATATTCAGTGCTCTGCAAAAAGTTCAATAAAGTAGCATTTATTTAGAAAGCCTCACTTGTTCTTCCCTAGAAAGAGTCTTTAAGTTATTTTTCTTAACATTTAATTCCACTACCACAGCAACTCCACAACTTTGAACTCCAGCTGCCATGGATTTCATATAATGGTCTTTCTCCCTTTAAAAACTATGTAACATAGAGCAAGGTACAGTACAATGCAAAATAGTCCTCTTCCTATCTGACTTCTCCAACATGTTTTAAAATGTATTCCCAAGTAAAGGAAAAGGTAAGACAACCACTGAAGAAATCTTAGCTATTAGAAAGCTCAGTCCTCCAGCCACCTTGCAGAAATATAACTGCTAATCTAGCCCAACATTTTCCATATTTACAATCTTCAAGCCAATGCACAGCCAGCTCAAGAGAGCAATAATTCTACTCAGCAACAAGCATTTTCTCCCCCACATCTAGAGCACAACACAGAAACAACTCTACATGCATAGCAAAACAGCAGCTCTCAACAAAACCACAGTGAAGGGTCGCAACTGCTACAGAAGGGTTTCAGTGAACCACCTCTGACCAAAACACACACTAGCTGAGGAGGCTCTGAAAACTTCGCACTAAACACACAGCAAAACCATGTTCTCCTCCTATATTCCAAGCATCTACAGAAAACATCATGAAAAGCATACAACTTATGCTTTAAAATGGAAGAGCTACTAGGACACCAAATACTTTGCCACCTAACCAAGTCAAAATTGGCTGTGTTCCAAGAGCTTCTTAGCTGTAGCATGCTTCAGCTGTTGAGAGCGAGCTATAATTCTCTGGGTAAAGTATAACAGTATGAATATTGAGACTTGATTTTGAGTTTCTTCAACATTAGAAATAATAAATATATATTATTTGGGCTATTTGTATGTTAATATAATAGAAATATAATCTATATAGGTATCTCTCTCCCAATTCATGAAAAACTTACACACTAGCAATAGCCTCCAAAAGGATTTTAGAGATTGAAAAATTGTAATGGCAAGTGACCACATAAAAAACACCTCTGCTCCACAAAGCACCTGGCTATGTATGTGTACATTGCTACTCATTAGTTCCCCCAATATATCTTCAGTCTTCTCTTTTTTGCCAAGACAGAAACCTTTGTCTTTGTAGCAGCTGCACCTGATCAGGAGCCAATGAATTGAATATTCTCTGCCCACTCCCATCCAACACTGCACATCTATCTGCAATTACTGTTTTAGTATAAACCACTACTGTTTTGGTATAATCCACACTGGTAATTTGGTCTTAACCATTCCCCCTTCCCTGGACAACAGCAGAGGAGACGAAAAGACTTTTGCACATCTTCCTATCTGTGACAAAAGGATGCTCCTTAAAGAATCTCCTAAAATATCACACTTCTTGATTCTTCTAGCAATTAAAAGCCCACATATCTTCTTGTTGAAAGCTAACAAACATGTTTTACTGTCCATATGAAAGCTTAAAAGTAGTAACTAAAAAAGAAAAAAAGAAAAATAATACCCCTGATTTCCAGCTTCTCAGTTTTTCAACAGTTGAGGCAGCACACGCATGCTTCATGATATAGCACAGCAAACTAAAGTAGAGCTACAAAATTACTGAAGGGACCAGAGAGCAGAAAAGATAACTTCGACACTCAAATCTTTCCAAAGAAAACCATTACCACTCTACATGACTTATTCTCCCCAACAATGGGTGTATGACATGCTGTCCTGGTTTTAAGTTGTTATATAGCACTATTTCTCTACTGACAGCTTTATTACATCTTTAAGAAAAAAGAGGCTTATACGTATGTATTCAGTGTTGAAATATAGTTTATTCCATTTCATACTTCAAAGATAAAATTAGCTTCAGAGCAGAACTGGTATAGGAAATTACAATACCCATTAATTTCCCCACATACAAACTGGTAAATATGACACCACCACATCTTAATAATACTAAAGGTAAGGTACATGACACAAACTAGGACAAATATAAACAGAACTACTACTTAGCTCTCATCATCACAATGATCAATGACCCTGGGAGTTAGGTATTACAATGGCAATGCCATAATAAAATTGACTTACCTATACTAGGTGGACTGCCATAATTTACAGGGGACTCTGGAGGCCTCCCACAATGTAGTGCTGCAAGAGCAGATCCCTTCCATACCACATGTTTGCAACCTGGTTTAAAAGAATTACACAAAAGCTGTAGGCAAGTGTTTCTTCACGCGAAAACACCAAAAAGGTATGAAATACCCAGAACTCTCAAAATTCTTGTAAAATTTTCATACTTTTGTTTGTACGAAGCAAAGACTGTCTGCCAGCTCCTAATAACGTCTGCACTCCAGGGACACTTTGGGGAATTTCTTGCTCTAGAAGCGGTCCAAGTCGATGGCATATTTGAAGCAAGTGATCAGGTGCCAAGTGTCTGTAATATTTCACCTATTATATGAGAGAGGGAACAAAACATTTGATAAAGAATATGGTATTTTTTAATAATTACTGCTTTTTTTCTTCCAGATTGTTACACAAATTTCTAAGAAAATTATAGTATATTAAGGATAAAAACAAATCATGACCTTTAAGTACAGTAATTCATTCCAGCTAGTCCTAACTAATTCTTCTATTCAGCACATGCCACTTTGTACAGAGAACTGTTGATATTTACTACTTTCTGACTTTAAGGCACAGTTGGTCATAGATTAATAAGCTCCTTTATAATCACAGGGAAAAATGCAAAGTATATATTCAATATTGTAGTTAAATAGTGGTCTGGTCATTTTAAGTTACCATAAGATAAAGATGAAGCAAAAATTGTAAGGACAGCAACATTTACAGAATTCTTGGAAGACTCACATATACCAGATAAGTAACATAGGTTTGTAGAAGACAATGCAAAAACATTCTGCCTCAACTCACCTATGCTATGACACCTTGTCAAAGCTTCACAATTGGATTTTTCTTTTTTTTTTTTTTTTACATCTGAAGCTTTTAAACAAAAGCATTGGCTTCAGTAATTCAACTTTAAAATTGGTATATGTGGTACTCTATTAGGCTACAAACATGACCAGTTTTTTTAACTGCTTATAGTTTTCAACTGCACAGTACCAAAACAAGCCCTTATTACCAGCAACAGATCTTCTTACCACTTAACCATGTCAGACCACTATTAACGACTGTCCAGACAAAACCAGCTCATGCTTTTGAACTACTATAATTCTAGATCAGAAGATCATCTTATATAACAAGGGAAAAAAGCTTCAAAGTGTATATGTGACAACAGTAAAATCCTATTAATATAAAGCTTTCAATAAAGAATAGCATTTTTAAAATGCGTAAGCTATTGTCAGTTCAGAGCATAACAAAGCAAATTTGAAACAATAAAGAGGGAGGCTAGAAGCTCAGTTTTCTTCAGTTCTTGTACAGGATTTGGCATGTAGTACTTTTATCCTTCATATAGCCTGAAATATGTCTTCACAGTTTTACTTTGCAGAAGGAAAAAAACCCCCAAAAACCAAAAAACACAGTACTGCAGTAAAAGCTTGTGATGTTTTATTACTCTGCAACTAGAGAAGGCTGTGACTGACATCTTAGGCAGGATGATGCTTCTGTATTACACCCAATTAACAGGAATACACCTCATTCTTCATCAAATGTGCTCCTATCTTGCTGACATGCTGTAATTGCTTCATGTATTCTAGCAGTTTGTTAACATAAAGAGTGCTGATGTCTGAAACTGAGGCTCTGGAAAAGCCTTGCTTACACCAGTAATTCCCGCCAACAACACAACCTTCTTGTGAAGGAGGAATTTTTCTCTTTTGCTCCTGTCATGGTTTAACCCCAGCTGGCAGCCCAGCCCCTCACTCCCCCCACAGCGGGATGGAGGAGAGAATTAGAAGGGTGAAAGAGTGAAAACTTGTGGGTTGAAACAACAACGGTTTAATAGGGAAAGCAAAAGCTTCACGGCAAGCAAAGCAAAATAAAGAATTCACTCTCTATTTCCCAGAGGCGGGCAAATGCTTATCTGTTTCCAGGAAAGTGGGGCTTTCCTTCTGTGAATTATATTACATTTATAAAAGGCCTTGCAAGCTGTCTGAATTTGACTGCCTAAAAGTTAAGTTACTTAAAAAATTCACAGAAATTAAAAAAATGGCTTTTCTTTAAAAAATATTAATTTTTTTAAATAAAGTTACAGCTGATTGTACAGATCAATTAATTTTAAATGACTACATTTACTGTCATGAGACAGGCACCCTGTCAGAAAAGTAGCAAAAGCTAATCCCCTGAATTCAGAACTTGCTATTCTGATTTTTTTAAATCAATAACATGCAAATAAAACTTGCTTTTTTCTACCTAAAGGAGGAATCACAGTCAAAATACATGCTTGAAAGCCCTAAAATATCAGAATAGGGGTAAGCAGTGATCAAGCTATGTACAGTTTCTGCCATTAACAGCCCTCATCCATTTCCTCAGCTTTTGTTCTCCTCCACTCCTATCAAAAGGAGCACAAAAACTTAACCAATACTGTCCATTGTATAATTCTATCAGAAACCAGACTTTGCATCTGCAGAACCTGAACTTGTCTCTCAAAGATTAATAATGAGTCATATTTTGGTTTAACCACAAATATTAGAACTAAATATGCGATGCAGTTGTCATTTTATGCTGCTCAAGATCCTTCAGTTTTACACATGCTCACAAATGCACAAAATCTAAAGCAAGTGAAGCAAATCAGCTTTGACACATTCCAAAACTACAGCTAGCTGACATCTTGAGTCATACTTCTCATGATTTGTCATAAGCCATGTGTTCACTTTTTTATTTTAGCAGAAACTAGGTAGGCTCAATTCCTCGTGCAGTTTTTAAAAGCAAATGTTTTGAAAAGGAGATCTATTTGTATTATTCTTGATCATACCTATTAAAGATCTTAATATATACCTTACACCCACACTATAGTCTCTCCTCATTTAAGTCCATTTGTGTGAAAACATATTTATGCCAAGTTACACAGAAGTTCTGTGACGCTCCTACAAAGCATTTGTCTGAATAATCACTGTTCACTAATAAATAGCGTTCGCAACCAGCTCATTAACAAACTGATTCAACAATACTAAGTGAGAAGTATGCTTAAAACAAGAAAGTGACACTGGCCATCTAAACACTTGTCAGTTCCAGAAAGTTTATAAAACTACTTCATGAACCATACACAGTCAACATTTGGCTCTCATTTTCCTATATAAGACTAAAGCACACACAAGAAACTTTTAAAAATAAACAAGTAAGCTTCATTTCACTGTCAAATCTGCTGGGGAAAAACCCTCTTATTTTATTACAGGTTTTATTTGGACTTATTTATTTCCCTTTTTCTCCTTGTATAAAGAAGGAAATGGTGGAACTTAATTTATTAAAAACAGATTAAAACAAATGTATTAAATTTATTAAAAATGTATTAAATAAGTTTTTGCCAGATGAAGTACCTATTCTCCATCAGACAAAAATAATAATATTCTTTTAACAATATTAATAGAATATTTCAGTTGAAAGGGACGTACGATGAACATCGAGTTCAACTGCCTGACCACGTCAGGGCTTACCAAAAGTTAAAGCATGTTATCAAGGGCACTGCCCAAATCCCTCTTAAACACTGACAGGCTTGGGTCATCGACCACCTCCCTAGGAAGCCCGCTCCAGTGCCAATTTGTCCGTGTGACTATTAGCATTACAGTAGAAGTCACAAATAAAAAAAGTGTGACAGAAATTCACCTTAATCCTGATTCCTCCCTTTTGAAAAAGGAAAAAAAAAAATGCAGAAGAGAACCATAATGTGTTAGCAACAACTCAAGGACAAGGTAAGGAAGTTTATTTAATACATTAAATGACAAAAGAGTGGCTTGAAAGCTAAAATTATTTGGACTGCTCTAAGGTGCAGCCTACCAGAAGGCAATTCTTGCACTGTACAAAGAAGCTAGAACTAACATAAAACATACCTACCACCCTGTGTCCTCTTAAAATAATAACACACACCTGCCATCAAGAGCACTTTAAAGTCAGATTTAAGTGTCAAAAAAGAAATAGAATTATTTTTTACAAGGACATTTTACAAGCTTTGTCAGAAACAGAAAAGCTCATGACAATGAGCAATAGAATGACGGAAATTTTTCTTGATACCAATCTCAGATTCCAAGAGTAGAAAGTAAAAGCAAAAGGAAAAAAAAAAAAAATAACAGATGTACAAGTGTTTAAAATTCATACAGCTCTAAATGAAAAGTGAAAACTGGACTCTACAAACAGGAATTTTAGAATTTTATGCCAAAACTGTGATGTCAAACAGTATATAAACAGCAAAGATTTTTTTTTTTTTCTCTGCCAGTCCCACCTAGCTGAAATTCTAGCTGGTTTCTTTCCTCCTCCTAGTAGGCTTTCTGCAACATCTAATTCTGCCCTTTTCTTCAAAAAGAAATGCACAGAAGATATGCTTTTATAACTATAATAATGAACTCTCTTTTTGTTCAAATAGACTTTTCACACAAGACAAGTTAATAACATTTCTTAAACATTACTGTAATAAAAATCAGAACTCTGTTAGCAAGTACAAAATTTTCAGATCTTAGGCACAAATAATATTTTATAGAAAATAAGAAGCAGCATTACCCTCAACTTCACCCTTTACCTACTACCCACAACTTTACTTAATCCAAACAAACAGCATGGGAATACACAAAATGCAGCTACACAGCTATTTGGACTAACATTCAGATCTTTATTACCTTTGAAATAGACCTAAGTGCTTCTTTTCATTCTGCATGACTCTGCAGAATAATTCAGCATCAGAATCACAATGAATGCATCAACAGAATCATGATTTGACCTGGACTCTCTAGTTAAATTCATAATACACAATGCAGTTACTCGCTGCCAGCGGTTTAGATGTCAAGTAAAATACAACCCTATTCTGGATTCTGCTCTAAGCACTATGCAAATCGAAACGTTCTCCAAAGTACAGTTGTTGGTTTGTTTTTGGTTTTTTTTTGACCCATGCTAACAGTTAACATGCTTAACTACAAGTTTGACTGTAAATATCTTTCAGAAAAGCACCTTTCCACACAAGAACATTTAACAACAAAATATAAGCCAGCCAGCTACCTATATTTTAAGATGCAAAAGCTCAGTCTTATTAATACCAGCAGCTATGCCAGCTTTAGCTGTTCTGCTATGTAACTTATTACCCAAAACAAGCTCCAAATTGAATTACAGTGATTGCTGTACTGTATCAGACCATCGATCTAACCGAGTACCCTGTACCACCAGCCACTGCCTTATCACTTTAAAATTATGAATTGCAATAAAGTGCAACTACTTTTCTCTGAAGCATTCTAATGATCTTTTTTTGAGGGTGGCGGGGTGACAGACCACAGGAAGGGGAGAATCGAAGAATTAACTATTTTCCCCAAAGCATGTTTATTTCTCATGTACTTTCTAATTATGCTTGAGCTAAGATTATATGGATATTTAGACACTATTTCCTATAGGAATTCCTATGCTTTTAATGTCAGATTACTTTTTCTCTAATGAAATATGTATGAAACAAGCCATCCCAAGAACATGCTAGTTTTTCAACTACTTAATGTTTTTAATAGGTGGAGGCCAGAGCAGATAAACCTAAACCTTAGTATAAACAGACTGCTGCAAGCTTGCTACTTACCACATGAGAAGGTATGAACAGTAGTAGCATTCTGAGCCTTATGGATTAAGATGTTCAACTATATCTATTACTGTTAGATTACCTGTACCTATTTGCCCATCTTAAACTCATTCATAATGTTTTGTGTTGGTTTTGGTGGTGGTGTTTTGGGCTTTTTTTTAAAAACATGAGAAACATGGTATTCCTCTTCAGCCCATCTCTCCTCAGGGCTTCTTAGTCTCGGTTTGAAAGAACAGTTGACATAGCCAATCCTCTTGATTATCTGAGGAACAAACGAATGTGTGGTATGTCGCACAATGAATGAGAGTTGTTCCTCCTCAAAATATAATGGTTTGAACAGAGAGGCCCTAACACCACCTAAACTCCCAGCTACAGGAATAATCTGTAGAACAGAAGTGCTTGTCTTTTAGGACTAAATGGAAATCATTTAAGTTGATATATGTCCAGCAGAAACACTTGATAATGAGACCAAAGACATTGCTAAGGCTCACACTCATTTCACAGGTGTTCTTACCTCCAGTGCCAAGTCTTTCAGACCACCTTCCAAAACACAGCATAGACTTTCCCTAAAATACTGTTACTAACAAAAACTAGATGATGATGCAGCTCTCCAATTCAATGCAAATTTTATTTTTGCTCCCTATTTCTTTGAATACCTTTACAACACAAGATTTCCTGAAGAAACAAACCACTTAATATCTGGTTACTTATTAAGAAACAGAATTATTAAACAGTAACCACCACGTTGCCTAAAAGACTTTACTACGTTAGATATTATATGAACAATGAAATACAGTGTCAATGTACTTAAGTGTCCCCAGTCCCACAGATATTCTTTGTAACTTCACATAACTTTGCATAACCGAAAAGAAAGAACAGTGGAATGGCCCAAAAATGCTTTTTTCATTTTCATTTTAAATCACATTTAATAATTGTGGGCAGGGGAAGAGGAAGGGACAGACGTTAGCAAAATAGTAATAAACTGTTCCTGAAAACAACAAAGCATACTGCCTACTAAACCCATCACAACATCTTCCTATTTGATGTGAATTCCCTGCCTTATCCCTCCTCAACCACTACCACCATGAATAAAATTCTAATTCAACAGAGAAAATGACAGTTACGTGAATACTTTAGGTAAGAAAGAGAAAGCTAACACAATCTGATCATAGACACTATGATGCTTGTACCTTAGAAGACCTTAAAAAAAAAAAAAAAAGCAACAACTACAAACCCCATGCCTCCAAACCAACTAAACAACAAAACCCCAAACACGCTCTACAGTAACTCTCTTGCTGCAGTGAATCTTAACAGTTGGCTTCATCCAGCTGAAGTCCACTTTACTCCCAAAAGGAGCAACCCCAACACATTCCCCAAGCCCCCCATGCGCACTCCTATCATCTCCCTCGTGGTGGTGGTAGGACCCATGTTGCTGAACACAAAAGGAAAGCTGAGCCACCTGAAAATTATTTTTGTACTGCTTATTTTTCAGACAGTTCAGCTCCCTTATCCGACTGACCGCACATTTGGATAAGCACTCGTGCCTACACAAAGGAGGCAGCAGAAATGCACAGCTCTCACCCACAGCCTACAATTAGAGCAGCTACACCCGTAGGGGAAGTGCAACGTGAAAAAACAATTACCTGGGAGTTCAAATGATGCACCAGTTTGTTCATGAGTCAAGGCCCGAACAAACCTGTTGTAAAACCTAACAACAGAACTCTTAAACAACACATTTAACCACAATCTATAAACAATTCACAAGGCTGCCTTGCTCTACTGAAGTGAGCTGTTAAATCTTAAGGCTTCTCTATTTCTGTCCCCCATCATGAGAAATCCTCAGTTTTTCAAAAAAGAAGAGAAAAATAGCTGGCTTACAATTAGTAAGTTTTCACAACTAATGCAAGAGAATACAAAACATCCTGAGATCTGCTACTGAAGAGGCCCACCGTTCTTGGTACACCTAGGTTGAAAGTGGCCTACCAGGGACTCGATTCTCAAAGTCTTTGGTTATGGCACAAATAGAAATCTTAATACTGACAATATAAAAACAAGATTGGCACTCTGAAATAAGAGACTACATTCTCAAAGCAAGATTCAAGTGGTTTATACCACAAATGATGACTGCAGAAAAATATAATATAGGAATATTTGAAATCACTTAAGAATGTAAAGCACAGTATAATGGCATTTCTGAACTCATGTATTTTCCTGTAGCATTACAAGCCTGCACAGCATGGTGTTAGCTTGTAAAAAAATGGGACATTTACGTTCACTGACCAAAAAGAAAAATGTAAGTAATTTACAAGATTAAAACTGCATCGGATTTAACATTATTTGCACAAGTTAAGTTACAGAAATAAAATATATGACTGTGAATTTTTGTCTAATAACAGAAAGCTAACTCTAATAAGAATTCCTAAATAAATGTTTTCAAAACAAGGACAAAACCAGGAACAACACCATCTCTTGAAAAGACATGCACTTAAACAGATGTATAACAAAGGCATGATTTTGCAAACAACAAAACAAAAGCCTAGGATTAAATTCCATCCCCTGTTACACAGGGCCTTTATTCCCTCCTAGAGTAAAGGTCAAACATCTAACACTACATTTACTGGTATTTTTATTTCTTAGCTTTTCTCCCTTTAGCCCCTTCTACAAGGTTTAGTGAAAGGCATTCAGGTCTGAGAAGCGGTACCAAAACATGACAAAACATGCCTTCTTCAGAAAGAAAAGTCAGCATCTTAAAGCTAGGGTTTTTTAAATAAAAAAAAAATAAAAAAAAAAACCTTAACAGAAGATTAGCTCATTGTCAGCCTCTAACTTCAAAGCTAAAGATAAATAAGTTTTTGTTTAATGAAACAAGACATTGTGAAAAACACTTCTTTTGTATGAAATGTAACTGTCACCCTGCAATGCACTTCCATGGCAGCTTTCACGAGCCTAAAATGTCAAGTAATACAAAGTTCACACAACATTGACAACTGAAGCGAGAGCAGACAGAGAGGGTGGAGAGGAGCATCAAGAACAAAGTAATCAATTTCTTTTTCCCCCCTCTCCCAACATCTAGGTAGGGACAAGGAGGAAAAAGGCATATAAATAAACATTTACCAGGAAGTCTCAGAAAACTTTGTTAGGAACAGAAGACTAGGAAAAGAGAAAGGAACTGGTCAGCGTCACAAGTCCAAATGTGTGGATCCAGGATTGAGTCCAAATTTTGAGAAAGTATATCTCATGTCATTACATATGTATTCTGACCAAATTAGTATTTACCTGCATTCCAACAAGCAAAATAAGTTTCTTGGAAAGAAGGGTCTGAATGAACTTGTTTCTCATCAAGCCTTCTTTCTTCAACTTTTAAAATGTCTTTTTCCTCACATCTTTTCACATTCTGACTATACAGAAGAAACCCCAATTCATTCTATGCTAAGACTGCACCTCCAATTCTTTATAGGATAAAAGAGGAAAGAGTCGTAAGTTTTACCAAGCAACTTCTAACCATTGTTTGAAATGCATAATATGGCCTTACTTACGGTCTTACAAGTAACTAAGGATAGCATAATATATGACGCAAAAGTATCAGCACTTTGAAATTCACAGTTGAATTTCTTTGTGACCTTTGATTTCAGGAAAATTGAGAAGTACTGGTATGTACAAGTATGTTCTCAGCAAGTAAACCGCTATCAATTCTTCCACACTGTATGCACTAAAACGCCTGGGCCAATCCTCCTCTTGTTCCAGGGAAAACCAATGCAGTAGGTAAACCTGTTCCAACTACAACAAATACTTCTGATTCATACTGTAAGATTAACAATATAACTAGAATAACGTATGTGCCAACAGTCTTGATTGGACGCATTACAGACATGAACTGTTCCATCTCCTTTCGCATGAGCTCAAAAGTTCTCCACATGTCTAAGTCTGAGAAGTATCGGAGTTCAGAACTACTATAACCGACCAGAAAGCCTGAAGGGAAATCTCGCTTTGATGAACGTTACAAGCAGTCTTCCTCTGAAATCTTAGTCAGAAATTCAGAGGCTAAATTATACAACAGTGCACCTGTAATGAAAACAATACTAGCAACAAGTTGCTAACAGACACAATCCAGACATCTTAATTGCCGTTTTCCCAACTCCTGTAGTTCACATCTTAGAAGAAAAATATCCAGGCCCCTCGTCTCTGTTAGCAAGAACTACAGCACTGCAAGTAATACTTTTTTTTTTTTAAATCTCTGATCTACACCTGAGATGAAAAGCACACACTAGGAGATTTAAAAAAAAAAAAAAAAAAAGTCAAAAAACCCTATGTAGGTCAAATTTTTGCTGTGGACCTGGCAAGACCAGTTATTTCTACAAGAAAAATATCCAGGCCCCTCGTCTCTGTTAGCAAGAACTACAGCACTGCAAGTAATACTTTTTTTTTTTTAAATCTCTGATCTACACCTGAGATGAAAAGCACACACTAGGAGATTTAAAAAAAAAAAAAAAAAAAGTCAAAAAACCCTATGTAGGTCAAATTTTTGCTGTGGACCTGGCAAGACCAGTTATTTCTACAGAGCAGATACGTTGTATTTCAAAACTGCGAATGCATATCGTGCACCTTACGGGCACACACCGAGCCAGGAAGGACACCTCAAACACCACCACCACCACCCCCCGCCAATGTAGATCCCAACCCGAGTTAACAGGGATGGGAGGGGAGGGAAAAAAACAAAAAAAACAAAACCACCAAAAAAAAAAAAAAAAAAAAAAAGCCACTAAAGAAGAAGTCCCCTACGGACCCAGACTGCTACAGCTACTGTCTAGACCCTCCTGGTTTTCTCCTATTTCTTGCTTTAATGTGAAGGAGTTCGAGCAGAGTGTCTCCTGGGGCAATGTACTGAAATACCCCCACCTGAACTCTGAAGTTGCTCTCAGTGTCTGCATTACATATCTACTGAGATGTGAACGTAAGGTATCAGTATGCAAGAATGGCGTGGCAGCCTAGTATATTTTTCTGGAAAAGATGCCTGCAGGTATTTCCTTTCATTTAAATTCTAATTACAATTCCCCCCCGCCGCCGGCGGGGCCCACCGGCTGCCCTCGGGGCCGGGCCGGGGCGGAGGGGTGAGGAGGAGGATAAAGAAGGGGGCGAGGTTGGTTTGGTTTTTTGAATCTGTAAAGTTGGTCTTGGTGTGGGTTTGGGTTTTTTTTTTTTTTAAGTTGTGTTTTGTTTTTTTTTTTTTTGCGGGAAATTCAATTTTTTTATCGGGCTGCTCAGGGAGAGTGAGGGGAAGGGAAAAAAAAAACCAAAACACCACCTCACAGCACACCACAACTTTGCCCGCCGCACGGCGGCCGGCCCCGGCCGCTCCTCTTACCAGGTTCTCGTAGCTGCGGGGGTGCTCCTTGCCCCTGC